GGTGCAGAGGGCAGTGTACAGAGTGCGTGGCCTCATCACACATTATTTGTGCTTTTAAAATTCACTATGTACCATGATGCCTGGTGCAGAATGAGTGTTCCAGACTTTTCTTTTTAATGTATTACATCATCTTCCTGAGAAGTAGCTCTATTTTCGCCATGCTCATCTATCTTCCTTTCCCTTACTAAGGTATTAATATACGGAAACTAAAACTATAACCTTCTAACTAGTTTCCTTGACTCTAGTTTCACCACCCTACCTGTACTTGCTAGATTTGATTTTCTAAAATAATAATTGGATCATGTTATTACCTCATTCAATTACCTTTGATAACATTAAGATTCAAGCATAATAATTGGCACATATTCATCACCAAATTAATATTTGATGAACAAATGAATGAATAAATGGAAAAGTGCTCCATGGGAGAATTTCAAGTCCTTCCACAGTTAGACCTTACCTTCATTTATTTCATTATCTCCCTTTAGTTATTTCCATAAACATGGGACATTCATTTATTGTGTGACTTTGACATGTCAGATGCCATGAGAGTTACTGAATATTCAAAGAAATAAAGGAGCTCACGGCTTCTTTGAAAGAAAGTATCTGCTTAAGCCACATTGATTTATTTATTGACCTCTGCTTTCCCATTGCCAAGGTTTGTTAGTGCCATTTTGCCAGCATAAAAAGACATTTCTTTCTTTTCTCTCCATGTACATTCTTTTCATCCCTCAGGATTTAGCTCAAATTGTACCTTGTTCATTATAAACACTTACCTAACCACTCAAATGTAAAGTGATCCCTCCCTGAAGCCCTCCTCTGACTTTCTAAGACAATTATTTTAATTACATCATACTTTACTTTGGCCAGGAATTATACATTATAAGTTTTCTGGTATGCTGAAACTAAAATATTATTATAGAAATCTATAGTTTATGCCATATCTCCTTATGCAACCTATTTCCCTTGAGGCTATGCCCTTCACTTCGTACTTTGTATTTCTTGGTATCTTCCATGGGGCCTGGTATTAACACTTCTTCCCACAGTGGTTCCTCCGTCTATATTTGTTGATTAATTGATTGATGAGTTATTGTAAATTTCCTTGTAGTTAACAGAGAGGTATGAACTTTGTGCAGACTAATGGATATTCAATAAATGTTGATTTACTGTCCAAGTACGAACTAATCAATATTATGGAAATAATAATTAATCTTTTAATTGATTACAACTGACAAAAGAGATGCCCCAGAGCATTCAAGAAGAGTCAGCAAATTAAGGAACTGAATATCTCCTTGATACTTTTTAATCTATTTTAATTCATTACTTATCCTGTCCCTGTCTCTATTCCCATTTCTAGTTTACTGTTCAGAGTAGAAATTCTTAACCTGAAGTCTGTTTCCTTATGAAGTCCATGAATGGATTTCAGCTGGACTTGGAGCCCAATAAAATGTTATGCATAAAGAAAGCCAGGCTGTTATTTAACAATACAAAGTCAAGGCTTAAACCAAAGCTTATCTAACTCCAAACCATATCATAGCTTAACTGATTTCTTGTGTTGTTAGGCGGAAAACCCATTGGACTATAAAAGACGTGCAGTCTGGTTATTGTACTGGAGTGTCCAAGGTAAGGTTTGTAATAACAAAAACCACAAGAGAAGCAGCAGCAGAAGCAACAACAAATGCTCATGTGTTGTTTGAGATGTGTCAGGCACAGTTCTAAATGTTTTATGTATTGAACTTCTTTGAACCTCACTATAAACCTATGAAGGAGATATCACTGTGGCTATTCACATTTTATAGGTTAAAAACCTGGAGAACAAAGAGGTTAAGTTACTTGTACAAGGTACCAGGACACAGAACACAATGATGAGGGATGGAGGAATAGAGGCATGGGAAGATAGCCAAGCTAAAAGTTTTCTACACCAAATTTTCTTTAAAGCGATTCTGTATTCAAAGTGCCCTCAGTTCCACCCTAACCATCTTTCTCAGCTAGGGAAGAACTCTGTCTACAGTGGCAAGTATAAAGCCAGACAATTCACACCAGACCCAGATCTGACTTTGAAGAATCAATCCACAGACAAATCAGTCACATCAAGATTGTGAAGATAATCACTTGCCTCCAGACCTCTTAGAAAGGAAAGGGGTGTCAGAAGGAGACCTTTCTAAGCTCTGGCATTCTTCATATCCTTAATGATCAAGTACAATTAAATACTTTGTATGTGATGTCAATGAGAGAGAATGGTCCTGAAATGAACTTCGACAATGTGCAGAATACAGTTAACCCTATTAGCTAGTGGGTTGACAGTAGAAACCAAAGTTTAAGTAGTTCTAACAGTAGATGTGGGATGTGCTCTGAATTGGAATATTTCACATATCTACATGACAGTTAGGGATTCAGGGAATCCTACCCCAAACATTCCAAGCCAGAATGAGTTTAAGCAATCTGTGCACAGTGCTGTTTCTAACCTTAAAATGGTTCCAGTGCATGTTGGATTGCAAGAGGCCTGGTTTCTGGTCATAGTGTCACGACCTCTTGGTGACTTAACTGCATATGACTTTGTTGGGACATAGTTTCTTCTACTGAAAAATTAGTATGACAATAGATGTAACTTGTGATTAAAGATGCAGCTTTTAAATATGATGATGTTTGGTAAAATGCTTGAGATTTTGGAGGTGAGTTTCTTTCCAAACAACAACAACAAAAAGGAAATTTTTATTTGTTCCTGAACAAATTAAATAAAGTTTTAAAAGCAGTGTAACTTGGTCATGGTTTGTAAAATAGTCTGAAAAGATGTTATCGCAAAACTTTGATAATTAATTTTCTATACAATAAGACTTTGCTTGCTCTTTCTTAAGATATATTACAGTTTAGTAATGAAAACTGGATTACATGTGAGAAGACCTGGATACTAGTTTCTGCTTTGCTTCTTGCCAGCTCTGTGAACTTGGGCAAGCCATTGGGCTTCCATTTTCTCATTTGTAAAACAGAAATAGTAAATATGACTTATCTTTTCTAACTCAAAGGATTGTTTTGAAATATATCAGAACATAATAAAAGCTAGCATTTATGGAGATTTTCACTTATAAGGATTAAGTTCTGAGTAAAGTGTTTTATATATATGGCCTTATTTAACCTCTACTCCAGCACTATGAGTTAGGTAAGAACTTCTATCCATTTTTCAGATACGGAAACTGAAATTCAGAGAGGTTAAGTAAGTTGCCTGAGTTCATACAGCTTACTATGGTGGGGGAAGGAACAAGATCTAAATCTTAACCATAATGGTTCTGCTTTTATAAAAGTAAAATTATCTACATAAAAAGGCATTATGTCTTTTTTTTCTCCTCCTCCTTATTCTTCTTCTACCTTTTCTTTAATACTTCTTTTCTCTCTTTCTCTGTCTTGTAATAATGATTGCCATAATTTGTCATATACACTTTAGTAGGGTTTTGATATACACTTTAGTTAAGTTTTGATAAATAGTAAACCAGGTGTTTTGCCAGGGGCAAAACACCAGTCCGGGTATGGTCCATAGCCAATCATTTGATTGTCTTTACTAATTTAGTAAATGTGTCTTGATAACTTAGTATATACCATGGTTATTCTGGGCGCAGGGATTCTACAAACATGAACACAATGTCATTCCTCCCGGAGTAAGACATGTACATAAATAATTACAATGTGAGGCGGGAGTGATTATATGTCATCAAAAAGAGATAAATGCCATATAAGGAGAGTTCAGAAAGGAAATTAATAAATTCCAGGTAACGGGATCATGAACTTTCGCACCAATGTCCAGGGACAGTAGTGCTTGCCTTTGTCTAAACTATCAGAATAACTAGATATGTGGTTATTAAATATTAAAGAGATGGACAGTAGGGTAAATTGTTTACCTGGGAGACTAAGCTTCGGAAATAAGGCAAACTATAACGTGGTAACACCCCTCCCCCTCCTTAGACAGCCACTCAAGAATTTAATTTCTCTAAATTTTATTGAGGAAAAAGAATATTTACTGTGGAAGAATATACTTTGATGGCTGGAGGAGGGAAGGAAGAAGGCTGGAGGATGGGAGGGGGATCCTCCTGTGTTTCACAGCTGTTGATTTCCAGTTTCCACCTGGTAAGAGCCTAGGGCCAGAGCATAATGATACAAGTCAAAACACAGAGATCTACACAGAGACAACTAACAGCATCCAGCAACGGAATTATAAAAGCTCAAAAAGTATTTCCAGTGGCTAAATAAATACCTTTCCTTGTGGTTGCAGTTTTTTTTTTTTTTTTTTTCATTACTGCAATTTGGAAAGACACATAGATTCTATTGCCCTTTCAAAGTTCTAGTTTTCATAAAAGTATAATCTATGAAAATCATATTTTTCATATATAGATGACGAAACTATGTTGTGATCAACTACTAGTTTTCTATGTATTTCATTTAAAAACTGGTGGTCAACGAGAAAGATTTTAAACTATGATTAATGAAAGTGATAGATGACATACTTTTCGTATAAAACCATGACTTTCTTTCAGGACACTTTAGAAATATGTCCAAAATACACAGAGAAACTCCACAGCATAGTGCTTGAATTTACACAAACACTCCAAGGCAAGTAAGAATCCGAATGAGTAGTTTCACATAAGGCTACTCATTTATTTTTGCAGTCCGCATTTAAAACAACTACAAGATTAATTTCATTCCATTTTTCTGGACTTACACATCCTGAAAGCAAGAAAAAAAATGCCATTTTGGAAGTATATTAAATGCTACTTGTAAACAAGGCTAGAAAGGGTGGAGAGTGAAATGGGATGGGGGTGGGGAAGCAAACCCTTTAGTTACAATATCTTAGGGAAATGAATCTACAATAAGACAAATTTCAAATCAAGTTGTTCCACTATACTACATAAGCAGTTTAGAATTTTAAGCAGATGCAAAAAGAATAAAGCAAATGGGAGGGAAAAAAAAGGCCGATAAAGTTTCTGGCTACAATACAAGAGACATATCATTACCATATGATCTAATGTGGGTGTCAGCCGGATTGTGTTCATTGAGGGAAACCTTATTTTTTAACTGTGCTATGGAGTAGAAGCAGGAGGTTTTCAACCTAGTGACAGTCACAGAGCAGCACCTACCCCCTCCTCCTTTCCACACCTGCAAACTCTTTTACTTGAGCTGAATATTTAGTGTAATTACATCTCAGCTTTGAGGGCTCCTGTGGCAAATTCCCGGATTAAAAGGTATGGTTTTCAATAATTGTCCTGAACTCTGCTACAGACTAATATAACTTCGGTCAAGTTGAGAGCAGAAGGGATTATTTGGTGAGAAAAAGAAAAGGAAAAAAAAAAACTTAAACTTTTATAGTCTTTATGCAACATTTTAAACAAGTATTATTTGAAAACAGAAGTTAAATATTTGATAAAATGATTGAATGTATTGTTTTATTTCTTTCTCTTCTGTATTTGCAAAGATGCTTCTTAAAAAACTGTAACCTAACACCATGACTCTCTGTATTAATGTTTTTGTGTTTGTATTAATGAATGTTTAGCTCTTTAAGAGGTGGTAACCGAAAAGTGTTCTAAAGTAGCACATTTGTAATTGAGCTGTATATTTAAAAATGTATTTTTCTCCTGAATTTTTGTCTGCTTTAAGAACTTTCAAAAGCCCAGAAGAACTGAACTCTGGTGATTAGCTGAAGATACCTAACGTATATTTCTTCAACCCCAGAAATCAATAGAAATTATCACCAGAGAAGTGAAAATAAACATTGAAAATATTTATGTTCTTAAATGCCTAAGATATTAAAGAAGCTGTATAATTTCTTAAATGTAAAGTGTCCCAATCAGTATCTTCACTGCAAGTGAAATTTTAAGATACATTCACTATAAAATGAGGATGTGGGTTAATTTTCTAATTTTAAAACAGGGTAACACAGTGACCACTGGTTAAGTGGGCTCCCAGTGATGTAAATACCTGTGGCTTTTTTTTTCCTGTTGCTGTTTCTAACCAGAAAAAGAGCCAAATGCCCCCTATAGTAACCCTTGCTTGTGGATAAATGTTGCTTTTATTCTTTATTTAAAAATTTTTTATATATATATATTGTTGAAATTTGTAATCACCTAGTGCTATAGGATTTTAATTTTGCTTTTGCATTTACAGCTTCACTTACCTCTTGAGGGTTAAATTTTGTCTTTGAAAGTGACACTAAAGGCATAGACGACATAATGCAAATGTTGATCTGAATGATATAATTCATTTAATGGGCTTGAGTAGTTTTAGGAACCAGAAATTATTATTTTTGGTAAAACATTTGTAAACTATGGCAACTAGCTTTAGTGGAGTTGTGATATTACATTAGTAATTAGCATCTTGGAGAGTGTCATGCATTTTCAGACTACTTAAAACAGTTTCAATAAAATTTAAACAGCATATCATCTCAATAACCATCTCCTTGGTTTCTACTTGGACAGCTGCTCTTTGCTCTTTATATTTCTGATTAATTAAGAAAAGAAGGAAATGACTAAAGGATTTATCAGTATTGACAACCCACATGAAATGTTTTAAGATGTTGGGTCTTCAAGTACCATGACACTAATTTAAAACAGATGATTTGATGGAGGATTTTGCACAAAGTTTCTGGACATGCTATTATTTTTTCACAGTACAGTCAGGGTTAAATGCACACACACACACACTCTCTCACACACACATGCAGACACACACACATGAGCAAATGAAAGTGAAATAAAAATCGGTGATTGAAGTTATAAGCTGCCTGTCTATATTCAGCTTCAATCAAAAAGAATATTGTTTGGAGAATTTGTGCCATTTTAGCAGAAGTAAACAAACATAAATTATAATACTATATCTCTCAGCTAATACTCAACACTTTCTTTTTGTGGGTTGTTAGTGAAAAAACCAGGCATGTTCTGCTCTGGAGAAAAGATTACAAAGCGACATCTGCATTAACTGTCGTTGCTATTTATTAAATCTGCAATTACTTGGCTTCATTTTTCTTTTAAGCTTGTAAGACATTAAATATGCAAGGCTAGCAAGCCTGTGGTAAACCATAAACATTGCATTTTTAATGGGAAACAGATACAAAACCACTCCCTCAGATACAATTCAAGGGAACAGGCTGCCAAAACAAGAGTCTTCTCTTAAAGGGAAACTCAGTAACCGAGTGGGAGTGGGCTCCTAGAAAAAGCTTAATGTTGAACTTAAAGTGGCAGTGTGAAGAATAATCTTTATATTTTGTTAAACCAAAAGCCACAAGCCTGTATTCAACATGTGCTGCCTTAGACACATATCAGTAGTAAATATAAACTAAGAACAAAAATGTAAGAAACTGAAAAACATTTGTTTCTTCTCTAGAGAATCTAGGCAAAAATTTCCAGAATATACCTTAAGGTTAGAACATACAAAGATCTTTCTTTTTTATTTTCTTTTCTCTCTCTCCTTCTTTTCTTTCTTTCTTTCTTTCTTTTCTTTCTTTTCTTTTCTTTCTTTCTTTCTTTCTTTCTTTTCCTTTTTTAAAAATATGCTACAATTGGATAATGACTCAAAACAGTTCTAAAATTCTACTCACGAACGTACAGCTTTAATATGGATTCACCTAAGTGTATAATTCAAGGTAGAGATGATGGGACTAATTATCTACTATGATGGGACTAAATATCTGCTAAATATCTGCTATGTTTTGGAGATATCAGAATAGTTTCAATGCGATTTAAAAAATATTTTGTCTCCCAAATGACTTTGTTTCTATATAATCAAGTACCTTTTGTTATTCAGATTTATTACGATTTTGTCACTCAGATTTATTTAGTGCACTTCAGTTGATTTAACAACATAGATTCGTGCTTGTGGAATGAATGGATAAATATGGAATACATTTATCAAAAGAATACTTAGTTTTTTACAAAATGCCCTGTTAGCAAAATGAGATCATATATACAGCATATAAAAATCAGTTAGAATTTTCCATATGTGTGTATTAGCTTATTAAAAATAATGTTTGAGAAACTAGGAAATTGATTTATTTTTTTAAAGCCGATCTTGCTTATACCAAGTTGAGGTTTTCAATCTGCTAACTTTTTTATATCAGAAATTCGATATTGAAAAAAAGCTAATTTTGTGTTTTAAAAAATCAGACTGATTGCTTGGAACAAATGGAGTAAATCGTCTTGTCAATAAAGTGATGGTCAATTGAGTCATTTGTGTGCAAAATATTGTGCAAGGCCCGGGTACAGAACAAGGAATAATAAGACACGCCCTGAAGGAGCACATCGTCTAGTGGAGGGACAGACCAAGCACGCAAAACAAATTGCAATATAATGTGATAAGTTCTTTAAAAGAGGTAAGAGCAACGTGCTTTGGGAGCAGAGAAGAGGGAGAAAGCAGTATCCTGCCTGGATGAGCCAGGGGACACAGAAGACAAGCCCACTATCTCATTTAATCTTTACAACACTCTTGCAAGGTCGGTATTCTACATGGCAAGTAGTTTTGATTGTCAGGGTTCAGGTGAGGACTGGGAATGGTGTGACAATGAAAGGAATGTGGCTAGAGCTATTAATTCATACCAATTTGTGAGTGGTCTGACATATAGCACAGGGACTGTGGGCAGTATTGATAGGTCAAAGGAAGTTAATAAATGGTTTGTAGTAGAAATTAATAAGATGAAATTGAATTTTTAGAGGATGATTCGGGCAGCAAAGTGGGAGATGGACTGAAATAGAGGAAATATGCAAGGCAGAGATGAATTGGAAGCTCTTGTAGTAGTTTAGGGAGAGATGAGAAAGGCCTGGACCAAAATAAATGTGATAGGATGGAGAGATGTGACTGGCTTCCAGAGATATTTCTGAAGCAGAAATTGGAGATCTCCTATATGTATAGAGAGAATTTTATTTCACCAATGCAAGGCTTGTGTTAAGTGAGCATTGAAAAGTCCAACATGATTTATTATCGTAACAATTTTGCCAACAATTTGAATATATAGTATACATCTTAATTTATACCGAAAATTCAAAACAAGCAGATTTAAATAATATTTGGATTTCTCATCCTAAGTAAATAGCTGTGCAAATGATACTATAATGTACCCGATCATCTTTCAATACATTCTTAATGCACTGCTTCCTGATAATAAATGAAATATTATATTGCACCTTTTCTCTGTGCTCACTCTATTGTGGCATACTATATAAGAAACAACACACAGATTAGGCAGTGCTACTCTTCTTCAAACTCTCATTTGTTTCCTAGGTTCCCTGGTTGTGAAAATACATGAGATAAGTCATGAAGGTCACTATCATCCTCCTTCTGCTTGCACAAGTTTCCTGGGCCGGACCGTTTCAACAGAGAGGCTTATTTGACTTTATGCTAGAAGATGAGGCTTCTGGGATAGGCCCAGAACTTCCTGATGACCACGACTATGAGCCCCCTCTAGGCCCAGTGTGCCCCTTCCGCTGTCAATGCCATCTTCGAGTGGTCCAGTGTTCTGACTTGGGTGAGTGGGATGCAGTTTCTCTTTACCTACCTTATTTGTTTTGTTCTTGGGAATGGCAACTCTGAGAGTTTAGCATTTTCAGTTTTAATCTCTCCAAATGTGAGACACAGTGCCACCTAATGAGGAATAAAGGAAGCAGAACAGGATAGAAAGAAAAGTGGCGTTGTGGTTCTCTCTCTCTCTCTCTCCCCGCCCCCACCCGTCCCTCTTCCTTTTGTCCTCCATTACTTTGCAATCTTGGGAAAATCACTTTAAAAAACATTTCTGAGCTTCATATCCCTTCTTCTACAAAATAAAATTTTGAAGAAAACAGTGTCTTATGTTCTAAAATTTCAGAGTGATGGTTTAATCTTAATTCTATAACGTGGTTTTATAAAATATTAGATATTAAGAAAATCAGGTCAGTCTCTCTACTCTTCACTTAGCCCAGACAACAGAGTTTCAACATTACTAAATTGTAAAATATGCAGTTATCAAAAGCAAAACTTGTCAAATTTTATGACAAAATCTTATCTTTCAATTATCAAAATACTCCCTTCATCTCTGAGCCTTACTTTTGTCTTTACTTTTGACATTTTGTAATCCAGCTGCTTATATTCTTTAGAAAGTTTCAAAGGAAATATTTATCACTAAGGTATGGTGTAAATATTCAATATAATCATGTTACATATATCTTTAGCCTAACACCCTAAAGACAGTTTGATTTATCATCTTTACAGAAAAATTTGGTCTGGAAATTCCAAGAGCATTACACTTAGAAGATAAATCTCCAGAAAGATTGAAGCTCAGTGGATGGGCCAAAGGGGAATGAACTCAGTTTACATGGCAGCTGATTCACATTCCTCATTTGGAAGGGGTGTATTTTCTTATTGGAGATGAAAAGAAAAAAAAAAAATCTTTATATCATGATTCTGCCATGTGTACTTCCTTCTAGAGGAAATCCCATATTATGATCAGGCACTTCTTTCAGAAGTCCTGTATTTACTCAGAACACGCTTTCTAGCAGCAGTCTGCAGAAGAAAAGTGCCACTAGCTTCTACAATTGGAATAAATTACCTCTAGGAACCTGGAAAAATATAAAGTATATTCAGCAGTAACAACTGAAAAACACTCGAAATAGCTTCTTCAACACATATATTGTATAGCCATTTACAACCCAAATACAAATGTTATGTAAAGACTTTCAAAAGGCCACAGAATAATTCCAGTGGATTGATTGGTTCACTCATTCAGACGCTATACTGGGAACCCATCATGTATGAACTCTGCTCTAGGCATGGGGAGGAAAGGATGAGGAAGACAAATATGGCCCTAGTTCCTGTGGATCTTATATTCTAGTGGTGGTGACTATTACTTTTTGAATTGTGTATTCACCACAGGGGAGATTGGATTACTCTTCAGAAACTTTATAAGTATCTAGAGATGACCTGCATTATTGTCTTGGGCAGGAAAATAACAGGGTTGAAAAAAATCTGGACAAAGAAATCACCAGTTGATGGATATACATAGGATAATCTTTTCTGAAGTTACTAAAATGGCGAAGTTCCCCAAAAATGTGATGCGAGTTAAATTTCACTTTGCCTCTGAGAACAAGTTAAAAGAGTGTGCTATTACTCTCACTACATATATTATCAAAAATGAAGGGTTGATGTTTTTAAGGAAAGCAGAGTTGGCCAGTCACTTTAGTGAAGTTTTATTTTTTCATAAATATAGTTTGCCTTTGCTTCCATGAAAAATAGTTCATAAAGCTTGACCCTGATGAAAGCACTGGGCATAAGTCTATTGTTCAAAGCGAAACAACAACAACAAAATATAGTCTTAGGAAGCAGCAAGTTCACTGACTTGGGACCTTTGTGATCATTTTGTTGTTGCTGTTGATATTGTTTTGTTTATTTTGTTTTGTTTTTAGATGAGAAAGTTTTCTACATGTTATCTCTTTTCTAGGAGCTCAAAGTGTACATCATCCCTTTATTATGGCTAGGTTTACTGACTCATATACTAAGGAAGTAGCTAAAATTATAAAAATAATTTGTCTTTAAAGCCATATTTAACTAAGAGAACTAAGTTCCAATGAGCAGTGGTCTCATGCGATGTATTTTCAATATCTTAAAATTTAAAGGTGAATATTTAAATATATTATAAATTTTAAAATCAGATATCTCTAAGAAAATACATTTCTTAAAGGGAAATGAAATTCGCTTGACTTTAAATAAAACCAAATGAACTCATTTCATATTTTTAACTATTATCTAACTCTTTCTTACTTTATGATGCTGGCAAGCTGTTGAGAGCCTTGACATCTTCATTGGTAGAAAAATCACAGTCTTAGAAATCCTATTAATTGTATGAGGTACCTATGTCATAGTAGCAGCTTCAAGCAGTTTTAAAATAATATGATTACATGCAGTAACAGATGAAGAAAAAAGAAAGCAAGCAGGGAGAAATGGACCACCTAATTCACCGTAAATGCAATATAGTTGATTTTTTATTTGTTTTATGTCCTCTAGTGATCTAAGCATGAAGGTTGAATTATTATAAAAAAGAAAATAAATGCAGTGCAGGTGGGGGTGAAAATGTTAATGCTTATCTGTATCAAAGACTAATGTTGTCTTCAGGATTATCCTTGATGGATTATCCTCGGCAGACATTTAATGAGCAGAGAGAAGCTACAGTGTTGAAGGACAAAAGTCCTTTGTCATCTTATTATCTAAATAATGTTTAATACGAATAAATTTTTTAAATTAAAATGTTTGACTACTTTTTCCCACTAAGAAATATTCTTGGCAAAATTAAATATCAAAATTTTAAACAATTCTTTCAAAGCTAAGAAGTCATAAACTGTGAAATTTAAATTATGTAATTACTCTGTAGGGTAATTTGAGGCCTCTGGAAAATGCAGGGACTGTTTTAGTCCCTAATTCTAATTTATCAGAGTAGTATTAAAATGTGTTTTTTTCTTTTTCTTTCTTCTTCTTCTTTTTTTTTTTTTTTTTTTAAGAGGATAAGGGATGGAGACAGTAAACATGAATTCCCCATAGATATTGGCCAAGTTGTTTCGTTGAATTTGTTGCAGCTTACCTTGTAATTGGAACCACAATTTTATGAGACCCATATCTTGTCTTCTTTTATTTCTATTAAGACATAAATCAGTTCCCTCTTAATTACAGCATTTATTTCAAAAAGTAATATTATAAATAAATGTAGAGTAAGCAAATTCAGAAGTCTTTCAGTTACTTAAAATAATAAATCCACAAGGTAACTTAGTCTTTTAAAAATCAAAAAATTTTTAAATGTTCTGATTTTGATTGGATTTTCTATTTTATATGTTTGGCATCCTGTAGGAAGACAGCTTCCCTTACTTAGGTACTCTGACTCAGCCATTCACCTTTGGATCAAGAGTCATCAGGTAGTATAATTTGGTATGGACTAACACCTCATTACTGAAATGCAAATCAGTCTTGACAAGTCAAATAAGAACAAGTATTGTCTTTTGACTAGTCTCCGAAATTAAAATTATAATTCTTGATATATTTCTTATAAACAAATTTCAAGAGTTGAAATGTCTCTTAAAACTATTTAGTAGTGGAAAGAACTTGGGCTGTACAGTTAAACACCTCTGATCTCAAATTCTGCTTTGCTGTTTGCTACCTGTAACCTTGAAACTTTCAAAACTTTGTTTCCTCATTTGACGAATGGAAATATATCTTATTTCACTGGGTAGGAATAGAAAAATATATGTACAAATGCTTATTATAGTAACTGGTACATTTCACTTACCATTTCAGGCAAAGTTGGCTAAGAACATGAGGCTGTTTCTGGTATTTCCTTTCATTTTTATTTATCTTTGAGAATAATAGGTATAGGCCATATACTTATTAGAGACTGTCAATGATTTATACTTATTATTCTCAATTCAAATTATATCATATTATACTAATTGAAAATAAGCCATACACTTATTAGAGACTTATTAAGAGTCTCTAATAAGTATATGGGTTGTCAAGCTAGAGACAAAATAGTACCATCTCTCTCCACCTCTCTAAAGAGGACCACATCATCTCCAAGTGTAAACAGACAAGAATAAAAAAAAGTGCATTTACTAAGCAATTCAATGTTCTCCAAACCAATATTCCTTTGAACAAAATGAGTTTGTTTGATTTGAGAACAATGAAGGATTTGACTATTTTATAATCATAAATGATTCACACCCCCACACACTTAGCCCTCTAGAAATGGTGCCAGAAAATGAAACACATTTAATTTTGCCATATGGAAGCATTACAAATAACTACTGGTTTCTAATAATGTACGTTATAATGCAAATAATGTTTTAATTTTTAAAAAACTCAGAAAAAGTACAACTTTTTAAATTATATAGTTGCTTCTTATTCATACTCATTTTTCTTGAACTAGTGAAAAATTTTGTCAGAGGTTACCACTTGGGACGTATTGTACTACAGCTTCTCGCTTGGCTGAGGAAACTGGTTTTCCAGAAGCAGACCTTATACTAGAGATAAATGAACCATTACACTTCTCCCATGAAATCTACCCAGAAAAATAAATTAGGACAGTTTTGTAGAGGGGCAGACAGAATGCTAGATGCTCAGTTGCCTTTATCATTTATGTCTGGCTCTGCAGCAGCAGGGGTGTGAGGTGTTCCTCATTCAGGGTTTCTAATGCACCAAAAGGGTGTTTCCAAAACATGATATGGGAAGGAGGCTGTGCACAGAGTATGCCCACTGGATTGCCTAAATTGACATTGGGTAGGAGTGGAGTATGCTTCAGATGAAGCAAGAGTAATGCTCAATGTGACCCAAAGTCTCCCGAATCAAGGGGTTAAAAGATGGAGAGAAGGAAGAGAGGGAGTCAAGAAGGCCAAAGGAAGCGTCTGTCTCCTTAACCTGACTGACAACTAACATAGCCCTGGTTTCCTTCTCAGTCCCCAGGAGGGAGAGAGAGGCAGCTGTGTGGGATCAAGGCATTTTGTGAGACTGCAGCTG